CACAAGTCGACGTAAGGCGGGAGACTTGCGCATCAATGCCGCGATCGGTTCGCTGGGTGAACTTCGCCCATCGAAGTCTGACCACCGAACGTGCGAGTTGACCATGACTAGTGTCTCTAAGAATGGCATTTCGAGCAACCGGTCTATAAAATCAGCCGTGATGGCCGTATATCCCAGGGCCAATCTTCGCACATTGTCAAACGCACGAGGAGGCAAGCGTACCAATCGTAGATACTGATCCAACCCTTCTGATACGGAGACTTCGATCAGTTTCGGCCAGGGATTCAAGAACAAAGACGTGGCCGAAAATGGGAGCCCGTTGCTCCGAAATTCACCACTCTGTAGAATCCCAATATCTTGTCCACCAGAGGATGTAGTTTGCCGAAAGTGGTGCCGCCGGCGAATATCTAAGAAGAGGCGTTCTACGGTGGGCCGGAGCACGTGCAGCACGATTGCCATGTCGTTTGCGAGTTGGAGGGACGCGATGAGTCCGGTGGTTGACATGGAAAACGTGCGCACATGTTTGGCAAGCGCGGTTGGTTTACCGAAGAACGCAACTGCTTTTCGAAAGGCCGCCAGCTGAGAGGCGCTTGTCAAATGTACTAGTGTATACAAGTACCGAATCGCAATCGATTCAAAGTATTTATTGACGGTGCAGAGCGCCCGCAGGGCATTCCGTGTTTCGGTAGAATAGATACGAGCGTCCGAGTCTGGATTGCCAGCGACTTGTCCTATGACCATAGCCTGAATTTCTAGTGGCAATAGCACCAGGTCTGCTCAAAAGTTAGTGTGCGTCCCAATCGTACTGGGGATAACCCACGTGGCTCTTCGGGAGTGCGCTCCCCCGCTATATGCTGGGTGGTTTTGGAGAGTAACATATTCGCAGAGTTTCCGTTATTCTGATGCACCACCTTGGTGGCTTCCAGAGCAGAACGGGATAGCCTATGGCCAAAGCTGACCATTGGGTGATGGTGGAGGCTGTCAGCCCCTAAGCGATGGGCGCCAGAAGCCCCGAGCTATACATTTCAAATTAGTCCTCTCACCCTTATCGAGTGTCACCACCTCCAAAATGTCGACAAAACAGACCACAATCATTCCTCATTCACAAGAGCCTTTAATTACATTTGAGTATCCGTCGACAGCCGACCTCGATAAGATCGTAGCCAGATCGGTTGCTGCTCAAAAGGCATGGAAGAACACACCAATCGCACAGCGAGTAAAGATCGGAGAGAAATTCATGGCGAGTGACGACCCAGACGACTCGATAGATAACTAAATATGTTTACAGGAAGAGTTCAAAAGCATGGGTAACGAAATTCCCCTTGAGCTTACCAAACAAATGGGCCGGTTGGTATCTCTGTTCGAATCTGAGACCTCACCTTGACGCCCATTCACCTAGCCCTGTATCGCAAAATGCAGGAGAAATTCGTGGCACATTAGAGCGAGCAAGCTACATGCTTTCAATTGCAGAGCAATCGCTTGCGCCGGTAGGACTAGAGGATACAGATAAACCTGGATTTAAGCGATATATCAAACGCGACCCGCTGGGTGTCGTCTTTGTTATTGCACCATGGAAGTAAGCCATAATCGGATCATACCATGCGATTTCTTATTGTATGGTAGCTTTCCGTTTCTCACATCGATTAACTCGGTGCTTCCGGCCATCATTGCGGGTACGCACCTCTACTATGCGATATATGCGCAATTTGCTGATCGTTCTCAATCAGGCAACTCTGTTATCTTAAAGCCATCCCCACAGACACCAGTCAGTCGATCCCATTTCAAATGATCGGTTCAACAGGCTCATCCGAATAGCTCACCGCACACCGCCTCCAAAGCGCCTTCGAAAAGGCTGGGCTCCCTACTGACGTCTTCATTGTTACACACCTGTCCCCCGAACTTACCGCTCACCTTGTGGAGCACCCTCAAGTCAATTTTGTTAGCTTTACCGGGAGCGTGGCAAACGGAAAGGTTTGTCCGTGCCCCTGCTGCGATAAAGCCTAGGCTCATAGCATTTCTAGGCCGTCGCTCAGAATGCGGTGAAGAGCGGATTCAAAGGGGTGGCGCTAGAAGTAAGTGCCTAGGCTCCAAGACTATCTGTTTCTTACTATTCGCATAGCTTGGGGGGAAAGATCCTGCATATGTCCGCAGTGATGCAGACATCGATTACACTGCCGCCGAGCTTGTGGATGGTATGAGCTAGTTGATCAAGGTCTCCCCATATGTTAACAAGGTCATATTAGGTGCTTTCTTCAACTCGGGACAGAGCTGCTGCGCAGTCGAGGTTCGTAACGGGCTGCCAAAAAATCATTCGATTTACGGGCTATGCCTTTTAGCGCATTTATGTCCATGACTCTGTCTATGACAGATTCGTCGCAGCCTATGTAGATATTGTCAAGGTAGGCGAGCCCATACGCCACGCAAGAGTGGTAACGAGCCTTTGTACCAGAAATACAAGCTCGGAGATCCCACAGAGCCAGGCACGAATCTTGGCCCTGTAGTGTCACTCGCAAGTGCGGAGCGAATTAGGAAACAGGTTGATGACGCTAGTATGTTTACTTGAACGGCTTCGTCAACTTTGAGATTGATCCACGAATAGTCAAGGCGGGTGCAAAGCCCCTCGTCCCTGAAGATCTATTCCCTATTGCAAAGCCGTGAGTGAGCGTATTTAATTCTGGCGATTATCTGATGGCTTTCAGGGGTACCACTTTTGTCGCCCCTCAAGTGCTTGTCGACGTTGATCACTGTGAGTGCTGATCAGCTGCGAAAATCGCTGCTTACGCCTGTTATAGCTATGGACGTCATGAAAGAAGAGACTTTTGGGCCAGTTGTGGGGATTATGCGTGTCCCGTCGGACGAGGCGGCGCTGCAGCTCATGAATGACTCTCCTTACGGCCTGACGGCGTCTATCTGGACAACCGCCAAGCCGGAATCTCAAGAGGCCTTCTTGCGATTCGTCGATGAGCTAGAGACAGGCACTGTCTTTCTCAATCGCTGTGACTATTTGGACCCGGCGTTGGCTTGGACAGGGGTAAAGGACAGCGGACGTGGCGTGAGTTTGAGCAAGTTTGGTAGGTGATCTTTTGCCGAAGCTCAGCTTTGATCACTGACCAGCTCGCAGGATATGACCAGCTGACGCGTGCAAAGTCTGTTCACATGAAGATTGTCACTGCATGACGTGAATAAAGTGTTAAATTTACCAGAATTTTGTCACCATTCGAGGCCAAGTCTCGTGCCATGCCGTCGCCCTGTGCAAACCACGCTTCCTTCAGCCGCTCATTGCAATTTTTGGCGTGTCTAGGCTGATTTGCGACTACACCAGGCTGATTTATAACTGCAACCACCCGAAAATAAATCTAATAATGTCATTTGCATGGCAGCGTATCGCCAGGTGTTTCTTTTCTGGTCAGTCCAGGGATCAACTCCACAAGCGCTCAGATGCTGTGCCGAGACGCCCGTTCAATCGCTATCACAGACATGCCATAGTTGGACAGGGCTGGTGGGCCCGCCCGAGCACTGCTACCCTATGCCCGGTATATAACCTCGCGGCTTCTCGTAACTGTCCGTAAGTGCCCCCCTTCCGTCCTGCCTTTCCGTTATGCGTGCATCGAAACTATTCCTTTCTTGGGTAGTGTTGACCTCCACTGCCGCATCCCTCTCAACTCCCGAGCGATGGCGATTCGATCTCGAGGTCCGCGGCTTGGTGAGTCGCAGAATACGCATCCTCTGACAGCCACTTGACCTTTTTGCAGCTTGACAAGCGCCAGGATCCTCAAGCTACCGACTCCCTAGTTTCTACCACTGCTGCACCAAGCGATATTCAACCTACGACGTCCGAGGCTGTGCCTACTTCTGACTCGGTCGCTTCTTCCATATCACCCGTAACCACATCCCAACCAGTCCCATCCCCTTTACCAACAAGCGATGCAGTTCCGACTGGATCTAGTTCGTCAGTCCCGTTGCTATTTACCCAAACCCAGCCCACCTCTCGGACGATTGTTACTACAACCCCGGTACCAACCGCAAACAACAGTGACTCTAATGTCGCCTTTTTCGACTCCAAATACCACCAATTGATCATTGCTCTGGCCTCCATTTCTGCAGCGCTTTTGGTCGCGCTCATTGCTATGGCCATCATTGCTTTCCGAGCACGAGCCGATAATGACCTATTACACGACCAGCTGTCTCGATACGAGGAGGGCATTAGTTTGGAACAGCGTGGCAAGGGTGGTTCCGTGGGTACTGCTGGTGGATATGGCCGCCTGTCGCTCCACGACCCAGACGACACAAGGCACTCTCGTCGTTCGTTGAGCGAGAGTCAACTCAAGCCCATGGCAGGACGGCGGTTGAGCGGAACCCCCATGGGGTCTGGAACTCCTCCGGGCAATCGACGCGTTACTTTTGGTTCAGAGAGCACACACACGCATTCCAGCTCGGGCCATTCTCTGCTCCTTGGTCCGAATAGCGGCAAGGATGCGCCCTCGGAATCTTTGGCTAAGCCCGCTATATCCCCAGATACTTCAATCCGTCGACTTCCAATGGCTCCAAAGACCTCGGGTAGTCATGAAAGCTACACTGATCCATTCGCTGGCGCTCGATGAAAATGATTGTTTCATGTATTTATTGTAGTCGTGCTTTATGTATACCTGTATTTTGTGCGTGGATAAGATTGTTATCTAGTCATTGCACGAGCTGCAAGTGAGCCTGGTCGAGGTGAAAGTATGAGCAAAAAGTCCCGGCGGGGTGTATGTGGTAGTCATGTGACCGTCCCGCTTGAAGGTACGGTGTATGCGCCATACCGCCAGCTCGAGATATAGTGAGCCATCCAGCCCTGAGATGCGTTTTAGTGAGTATTGGGTGTTTAGGGATGTTAGGTGGGTTCGAATTCGAAATTAAAAGGTGTCGGATTGAAAACCTGCTCTTGACTCGTTTCAACTTGTCCGAGCTGTAAACTGGGCCGCTTTGGACGATTCCGGATGCCTTTTGAAGCTAAAAAGTACGGCCCCAGCTGGGAATTGAACCCAGGGCCTCGCCCATGGTTGTTACGTAACATTGGTAAGCGGGAGTGCTTACGGGAAATTTCCCGAAGGGCGAATCATACTACTAGACCACTGAGGCTTATTTACTATATCTGTACCAGAGTCATCATTGTATTGGTATCTGAAGCTTTTAGGGGCATTATAATAACCTTTGGTTGTATTTTAAATCGTCTAATTCCTCGGAGAAACCGAAAATCGCCGGTTCCTAGTCAAGAACCATGATTCATCTGACCCGAACCTCTTACCTTTGGCAACCAGCTGGCACTAGTAATATAGTATTGCATTGCCAAAAGTGACTAGAAGGCGTGAAATAGTATGAGTCTTCCGTAGTCGCCACATCATCTCCCTACAAAAGCTTCTCGCTAAGCACTCAAGCCTCGCTGTGAGTCATAGAAGCGCGTTAGTGCGCATGTACTTCCCATTTCGTACTTGGCTCAATTACGTGGCTCGGTTTTCTGGTATCTTCTACCAAGTATATGAAAATCATACGTTCGAGTCTTCAGTACCCTTATTCAGGAGACATGAGCGTCTGAAAGTACTACTTTGGCCCATTTTGCCTGAAAATAAATATTTCGGCAAAGAGGGCTTGTAAGGTGCACCGGATACTAAAACATGGATGAGAGTTATAATGAAGCGAATGGTTTGCGCATTGAAATGCCCCGACCTATGAAGGATCATTAATGTCAATAGGCGAGATTTACGTTTATTAGTCTCAGCAATTGAGCATTCATTCATTAAGAATCGCAGTCTTTGACCATTTCGATAATACAAATGAGCAAATCAGTGAATCACGTCTTTGAGCTGATTTTTTGGCACAGCGGCTGCATAGGCTCGGCGTTTCAAACGTGTTCGGGTCTTTTGCTCGTATGCGTACGCAAAACCGATAAGACTCGGCTCACTATATGCCGTGCCCAAAAAAGACAATCCGAACGGTATCCCCTGAGAGAAGTTTCGATTAGGGCTGAATGCTATTCACGGATTACCAAAAACGTACTGGAGCCGGGAAAACAGTGTTTGGTCCAGCACTTTTGGGCACAACAACGGTATCATCGGGATGAAAGCCAAGAGGAACTGAAGAAAATATGATCCCCCAACTCCTTGAGAGTGTATAATTCCACTCACCGGATATAATGGGATAGCCGGCGATGGCGGCCGGGGCCGTGGTGTGGCCTTTGGAGGATTTTAGCAGCGGACAACGCAATAGGTCAAGCATTACCATTGCTCGGAAGAACGAGCGCGTCCAAATTGTAAGTTTTCAGCACATAGTCAATGCCTCTGGTTCGCCCAATGTCGTGGTTATTGTAAACGGCTTGATGGTAGGATTCGTTATAACCTAAAGTCGCTTCAGCGAGAAGAAGTCTGATTGTATGATATGATTGTCCGGTCTACCCATTTAATATCGCAAACTTACACAAGCTGTGACTCGTAGCCTTCTGGTTCCTCTAGCTCTTTATGCTTATCATTGTACACTATGATCTTGGACAGTGTGTCTGTGCCTGTAGGAATATAATTTAAACCTGCAAGATATGCGTTGATTCGGGTCTTTGAACAGTAAGCGAAGTGTAATTTGAGGATATTCAAGTACGGCTCACCTTGATATCAACTCGACCAACCAGACGCTCGTTGTTATTGTCAATCATTTCCTCTGCGCTTGGTAAATCCGTTGGGTCAACGATAACTCCACCAAGCGATTGGATTGTTTTGAGTGCTTCTTCAAAGGCTACTCCGACTGACGGGTGATTCCCAAGCAATGTATCGTTTCTAAAGACAATTCTAGGCACACCGAATCTCTTTCCTTTAATCGCGTTGGCGTCCAGGTATCGCATATAATCGGGAATTTGCTTGGGAGCGGTTAAAGTGTAATTGTCTTTGCCATCCCTTCCTGCAATGATGTTTAGAATTGCCGCACCATCCGCAACAGACCGTGTCATGGGACCAACGGTATCCTGATGCGAGTTTATAGGAATAACTGCCGAGAGTAGAGCGGTTGAGACAGTATATGTATACTACGGATCTCTCACCTCCAGCCCTTGATGTCAACCCTACAGTTGGCTTGATGCCGACAATATTGTTGTAGCTCGAAGGGCAGATAATGCTCCCGTGCGTCTCTGTGCCTAGAGCACCAGCAGCGAGTCCAATTGCCGAAGCTATGGCGCTGCCAGAGGAAGAATCACATGGATCACCATTCGGGTAGTAGGGATTGGTAGCCTGGCCGCCTCGGCCCGACCAGCCAGATGCTAATATCCCTCGGGCAGCTGACCATTCAGACTATTGCGGGAACTCAGAACCTGAAAAGTTCAAAAGAAGCACCTTACAAGATTCGCTTTGCCTAATAGAATCGCCCCAGCCCTTCGGAGTTTTGCTGCTACAGTTGCGTCGTCTGGTACAATTGATTTGTAGAGTGCATATGATCCCGCCGTTGTGTTCATTCCTACAAACCACAATGAGATAGTAACAAACACATGAGTTTTGGGTTCCTACCTTCACTGGCCAACGTCGCAATGTTATCTTTCAAGATAAGTGGAATTCCATGTACTATAGATCGTTTGCCTGTCTTCTTTCGCTCGGCATCTAAACTTGCGGCTTGCTCCAGTGCGAGCGGGTTTGTCTCTATTATAGCTCGTAAAAGTGGACCCTCGAGATTGACTTCATTAATGCGAGCAAGGTAGGCCTAAATCATTGTTATTACCGCAAGACATAGCTTGAACGTGATGTCCAGTACCTTGACAAGGTCAACACTTGTAAAGCGACCTTTATCTAATCCATTTTGTAGTTCAGCGATTGATACCTCGTATAAATCTGGATATTCGATGGCACGAGGCGGAACGCAAAAATAGATGACACCAGCTAATAATAAAGCAATTAGAGTCATGAAAAGGCTGTGCCGCCACAGCTTCCGTCGCCCCGGCTCTTCTGACAACTACGTCAAAAACACTAGTTAAATACACAAACCGTACGTTTCATATAAATTCTGCTCACCATCAAGCCATACGAAGCCCGTGTTTTGTCGCCCATGGTCGTAGTCAACAAGCCACCGATAGTTGGCTTCCATCACTGCGGCTCAGACATCGCGTGGTCGAAACGGGCGCTTCGGCGTATGGTACTGTACATCTACATCAACCCTTTTGCGACGAACACAGATTTGAATTCATTTGTCCGCTCGATTCCGTCTCTCAGTGATACCCTGGCTTCTAACTGTATCATATGCATTCAAATATTTCGAGTTCCAAACAAGCAATGCCCAAACCTAAGAAACGACATCCTTCAGCTGGGTTCTTGGTACAGCAGCAGCATATGCCCGACGTTCAAGACGCGTATGAGTCTTTTGCTCGTACGCATAGGCGAAACCAATCAAGCTCGGCTCGCTGTATGCGGTCCCCAAAAATGCAAGTCCAAATGGCGCTCCCTAGTCCAAATTAGAATGAAATTGCTAGAATTTGGGTCAGGCGGACTTACAGGAGCAGGATAGACCGTGTTTGGACCGGCACTTCCTGGGGTGACTTTGGTGCTGTTAGGGAAAAAGCCAAGTGGAACTAATGTCCAAACCTAAGCGATCAGAATGGTACTTTAAATACAGTGCATACCGGTGACGATCGGGTAGCCGGCGATAGCGGCAGGGGACGTAGTGTAGCCTTGAGATTCGCGCAAGTTAAAAAAAGCCTGGTGATCGAACTGAATAAACCCACCATTGCTAGGCAGAACAATCGCATCTAGTTGGTACTTTTTGAGAACATAGTCAATGCCCCGAGTTCGCCCAAGCTCATAGTCGGCAGCAATTGCAGCATAGTACGTAGAATTATAGCCAGTCGTAGCTTGAGATTCGATGAATCTATGGCAAATTCAAGTTAAAACATGGTGCCCGAGGGTACGTTAATATCCTTACATCGATTGGTCTTCATATCCTTCTGGCTCTTCCAGGTTTTTGTGATCATCATTGTAAGCGATGAGCTTGGCTAGTGTAGAAGCTCCAGTCGGAATGGATTCGAGGCCCTTGAGGTACGCATTGACCTCGATCTGCGCAACAAACTGAGCAAAGGTTTATCGAGTTTCAACATAAGGTTACGCACCTTGAAATCTACGTCCAGCACAAACGTCTCGTTCCCGCTAGCTGCAATCTCGTACGCACTCGGCAAATCAGCTGGATCCACAATCACACCGCCCAAGGCGCGAATGGTGTCCAAAGACTTGTTGAACGCAACGTTGATGTACGGATCGTTCCCGGTAAAACTGTCGTTCGTAAACACCGCACGGGGCACACCGAATCTTTTGCCTTTGATAGCGCCAACGTCGAGGTATTTCGTATAGTCTGGAATCTTAGAAGGGGCGGTGGATGTATAATTGTCCTTGCTGTCACGTCCGGCGATAATACTCAGAATCACTGCACCGTCTTCGACACTTCGAGTCATCGGTCCAACGGTATCCTGGTGCGAGGAAATCGGGATAACTAAAAGCACACCGTTTGCGATCAGACTCACATCAGACCAAAACCCATACCTCCAGACCTGGAAGTCAACCCCACAGTCGGCTTGATTCCGACTAGATTATTGTAACTGGATGGACAAACGATGCTTCCATCTGTCTCGGTACCCAACGAGCCCGCGGCGAGACCCACAGCAGTGGCAACTCCACTACCAGACGACGAGCCGCAGGGATCTGCACTAGGATAGTACGGATTCGTAGCTTGACCACCGCGACCGGACCATCCAGAGGCTACATTCCCGCGAAAGTGCGCCCATTCAGACTAAACAGACCGAAATGGATTGAATAGAAGCGATTAGGTAGAAAAACACGAACCATATTAGCTTTGCCCAATAAGATGGCGCCAGCCTTGCGCAACTTGGCAGCAACAGTTGCATCACCCGGTACAACAGACTTGTACAACGCCCAACTCCCAGCAGTCGTATTCATTCCTGGTCGGGTGAGACCTCGATTTTGCGTGTTAGATAAAAGGTACACACCTTCACTGGCAATAGTAGCAATATTATCTTTCAACAAGATCGGAATCCCATGCAACGGCGACCTTTTCCCAGACTTTTTCCGTTCGGCATCGAGGGCTGCGGCTTGCTTCAACGCCGACGG